AGATGATCTGCTCAGGTCCCTTCCGACCCTAGAAACTATGAAACTATGAAAAGATGTAGGAAGAGTCACCAGCTAGATTCAGGACCCAATGAAAAGTACAGACCTTTGCAAATCCATTGGTAAGGAACAGGCTTAAGGCACTACATTTACATTTATGAAGGCTAGTAAAAGGTTTGGCTAAATAGGCATCAGAAAAGATAAAAATGTAGATACATCTAAATATTACTGCTCTTTTTTAAAATACACTACTTCTTATAGAGTTCTGCATGCTTGAGGGTATACTGTCACTCGTACTTTCTTGAAAGGCAGTAGGTGGTGAACCCACTGGTGTCCTGCAGCTTTTATTTCATCTTCATAGACATTTTGTCCCCAACTGCCTTCCAAGAAAGTGAAAACTAAATAAACCCTCAAACATGAGAAATTCTAGAACTATAAACTTGGTTTGCACTCCTCTACCAAAGCACCTAAACTGACTTAACTCTATCCTGTTAGCAATACTCCTAAAACTAAGACAGATGTGGGGCTTCCCAAGATAGTCAGGCACCTGGATCTGGAGCTACATCAAGATTTAGCTGGAACTCTTTCAACTGGAAAGCTGAGAAACATCTGCAGCTTTCAGTGCAGTGTCTACTCCAAAGCACTTTTTGCTGAGAATTGCTGCTCCCTCTGGAATAGAGTTCAATGAACAGCTTCTCCCATCATATTCTTTTTTGTGGGGGAGGGAGGAATCCCAAATGTAGGTGACCAGAGTTTGGTGTAAATCTCCCATCAGCACTTTTTGCCTGAAAGCCATGATTCAGACATAGTCCACCAGGAATATTATGTCCCAGCAGTGGCTGGGATATGACATATCTGCTTCAGGAAATAGATGCCTCAAAAAACTACCAAAGGGCTAGAACAAAAATGCCAAAAACAAAGATCAGTCTCTAATAAGGAGGATAGAGGCTGGAGTCTGAGTAAAACTCTTGAGCTCAGTAGATACAGAAATGCACAGCCTACTTACTTAAAATAAGCAGGTAATCCAAATGGTTTGGACTTGGCTGGGTTATCCAATCCAATCATGAAACTGAAAGGGTAGCTACAGTGGCTCTCTTGCTAGGAACTTCTTCACTAAGCACAGTCAAGAAGTGAAAGGGATAGTCACAGGACAGTGATTGAAGATACAGGGATATGTCTGAGCACCAGAAGTGGGGATTCGCTCACGTGCCTGAATAAAGCCACAGTGGTTAGGGGCCAAAAATCTTTGCTTGGGTAGCCTCCTATTAAGCAGCCGAGACTGAGGCATGGGAATTCTACAGAGATGCTAGACCTAGACTTTTGTTTCTTCTGTAGTCATGTGCAACTGTGCTAAAGTACGCACAACCCAATACTTCACAAGCTTACACATAGGGAATTAGAGGACTTGCGATCTTTAGTATTTTCTTTATGACAGCAAGCACTTTTCCTCTTCTTGTTACAATGGCTTTCTTGTACAGATGGATTTTTTTTAAGGTGCTCAAGACTGGCCTAATTCTGCTCCTATTAAATTCCATTAGACTTCAGTATGAGCTAAACCAGCTGAGGGCTTTTATTGTACCAGTTTAAAATAGATGTTCCATTGTTTTCTTTGAATGACTACTCTTAGAAGTAACAGACACAATGATGGTATTAAATTACAGAACTTGGGGTGGGGCCCAGAAGGGAAATTAGCCACTTAAACATATGATTCTGTGATGTCTGAAAGAAAATTCTCTTTCCTAGTCCCAGATGTCTGGGTGAAAACTGGCCAAATGTGTTGTATTGGAAGCAGAAAATCCTTAACTCACTTCTGCCTTCTGCTTGTCAGGTTCCCACATTTCCTTTCCACATGGTTTCATCCCAAAGTCCACCTTAACTCAGTATTACTCTATCATAATGACTAATGTCAAACCTAATATTATTATTACAACACATACTGAGCCTGATTTTTTATCAGTTATACCCATATAAAATAAGACTAATTCTGCTTAATTACTAAAGGATGCAAGATAGGAATCATGTTTTTATTACAGTAGTTTTTGTTCTCTCAGTCTAGAATTGGTTCTCTCTAATCTGTGAAGAACATACCTATTCCCCCTCCCTCCTTGACCTCTTTCAAATGCTTCCAAAATATCCACTCTTAAAAACAGCCTTTCCTGTGTTTCTTCCCCTCTTTGCAAGTAGTTCTCACATCTTCTCTATCAGTGATAGGCTATTGCTACCTGCCATTCCATGCCCTAGCTTGCCTTTATCTTCTCCTCTCCTACAAATTGTAAACTCTTCCACAGTGCGTTGGCAATGTTTATAAAGTACTGTGTAAATGTATAGCACTATATCACCTCTTAACAGTAAACAAACCCAGTGATTTTGAAAGTAGAGGTGGAAAGTTCTTCAAGTCATCCAGTCTACCTTCCTGCCAAGTGCAGAACTGCACTCTAAAGTCATTTCTCTACCCTGATATAAAAATGAATTTGCCCAAATTTTATCAGCCCTTACATAAAAAAAATTGGTTTTGTTGGGCACTTTTGTCTTAAAGCTTTCTTCACTTAAGATGCTTATGCCATAACTGTATACCCAAGACAGTAAAAAATAAAATACAATGTGTGTGTTATAACAGATGAACATTTTTCTTACTTTCCAAAATATGCACCTTTTCCCAGATTTCATGAGAAATCCAGGCAGCCTAATTTTTGCAGACACTAGCTATGCATACCAGTGATATGCACTTACCTGCTTTTATCCCGTTAGGGGACCATAAAACACGTTTAGAAAGGTGGAATGTGATCTGCTGACAGTAACCTAACTACACACCAACTTCAAGCTATTCATATGGCAACTGTAAGACAGTAAAAAGGTAGAGTAAATCTCTTTTTCAAGTTCAACATTAAATCTGGATTGGGAGAGAGTAGATAGGGAAGGGAATAAAGAGGTGTTTATTTAGCCTGTCATTTACTAGGAGCTCATCCTCTACCATTGAAATTTAAGCTTTGTGATGGTGCAGGAACAAAACTGGCAAGATTACTGATGAAGAGAATGGAGACCCTGTTCAGCATTATAGGGCTTCATCCTGCCACATGCTGAGCACTCCTGGGAGCTACTGAGACCCCTAGCTCTGCACTCAACACTTCACACAGTGAAGCCTACAGGGAGCAAGGCTCAGAAGATCTGAGCTTTTATACATTCCTTTTCTCCCACAGAAGGAACTCGCAGTGCTTCTCCTGAGCTGTGTCTTTAAGCAACTCAAAGAAAAAATGCAAAGACTGAATGAAACAGAAAATTGAAAGGGCCAAGATTATGAAATTCAGTAACAAAAAATAAGAACCACCACTAACCTCATCATATTCAGAGCAAAATGGAAAATCTGCCGTTTTACCCAGGCTTTCCCACAATGTTCTCACAGAGTCACTCATTGCAAAATTACCCAACAAAAACCAACCTTAGACCTTCTGGATTTTTTTCTTTTTTCTTTGGGTGGGGGGATGGGGTTATTTTAAAGAGATGTACCAGCTTGGAGTGCACAGGAGAAGAAGGATGGATGACTAGACAGAGTTAGAGCGACAGAACTTTTTAAATAAAAAAAAAGTAAGCAAGAAACAAAATTGTTTCTAAGGTTGGATCTTTGCAACTCCTCTTTTGGGCTCATCCAACTTTACCATAAACCTTTCAGCGCTCTGCTGTTCTGGAGCTTCTTCCCCAAATTCTGTTGGGCATCAATATCCAAGATACCAGTGGATACCATTCACTTAAAAAAGTTACATTCTACCAACATGCTAGACTGGTGTATCCCTATGGCCTAAGGACAGTCTCTGATGCTGGTAAAATGCCAAGAGAGATGGCACCAAATGAATATGTACTAGAATGATAATAATATCACCCTGTTAGAAGGCCACCATGATGGCAAGGACTGAAGGTGATAGGGAAGACTTCTAAGCTGAGTTAAAGTTTCTCTGTCACTGGTACTTAGAGTTTAAGCTCTTTGGAACAGGGGCTGTCTTTTAGTTCCATGTTTCTACAGGTCCTAACACAGGGGGTGTCCCAATCCATGGCTGGGGCTCCTATGCACTGCCACAATAAAACAAATAAATAAGTAATACTACTGTAGTTATTCACATTTCATTTCATTTTTAAATCACTCACTTGAGTTTCTTGAAGGCCTCCCTCCCGCCAGCCACATAGTGCTCTCCACTCTGGAGCTCCTCCAGCTGCCGGATGCGATGCCCACCGCGCGGGGTGTAGATGTTCCGCACAGCCCCAAAAGGTGCTTTCACCCCACCCGTCACCTCTTTCAGGAAGACCTCAAAGTTGGACACCTTCTTCTCGCTGATGACTATGCGACGGCCCGGGAAGAAAGGGTCCCCATTTCGATACACTAGCACGCTCTTCACCATCGGTTGTGACAGGCACGACGGCTTTGTGCTGGGGCTACTCATGTTCAGTTGCCTCACTCCTCTGGCTGCTGCTACACAGTCAGCACTGCCCACCAGGCACTGTCCACACCTGTTTGTTCAACAAGAATGTTCCTGTCTCACCGTCTGTCTCACACTCTGTCAAATACCTGTGATGCATGAACTGTGCACACTCACGACAAAACCTGCAGCAAGGACCACCTCCAACAGGCAAATGCCTCTGTCAAGCAACCGGGGAGAGATTAGAACCTCCCTAAGGTTTCCAGTACAAGTCTGTTCAGCCTTTGCAGAGAAACCTCTGCTAGGCAACCAATTCTTGCTGCTCCCTGGAGCATGGGGAAGTTAACACAGATTACACTAAAACATGCAACCTCTCCCCTCTCCCCCCCGCTATCCCATGTATATATACACATCCTAAGCAGATAAAGGTGATTGGACATAGCAAGAAACCAATAGTCCTCCCAGGAAGTGTATAATGTGGCTTTGCAGACAGTGAGAACCCTTAATGGTCTTTCTTCCACAAGTGGTTTTACTCTGCTGCTCGGGAAACTTTATCCTGCTTCTCCTCTTCCCTCCCCTCTCCACCTTAAAGGGGAAAAAAAAAAAAAAAATCAGTTAAGGGAGAAAGCCTGCCAGACTGCAATAAACTGAACAGACTAAGGCAACCACTGAAGAAGCACCCATCAAATCAGAGCCAGGCAAATAATGGGGGAGGGGGGTCCATAAATATTGTCTTTGGGGGGAAAAAAACTTCATGAAATGCCTTTCATCTAATCCTAACCAATGGTGGGAGAAGAGAGAGAGAGTGTCAGCAAAACAGCAGAAGGCTTCCCGAAAAAGTTACTTGTACTTGGTGAGTTTTATTTGCAAGATATATGGATTTCTCTTTCAGGCCTCCCACAGTGTCTCTTCTCCCCCCCACCCCACACACCCTCCCCTGCCCTGTATAGGCACAGAGTCCCAGCAGCACAAAGTGCATCATTTGAATGCCAAGAGCCTGGCAGAGGGAAGAGAGAAGCCAGGGCATGCAGAGGACAAAGGCAATTTGAGTGAGGAGCAGATCGAGGTGAGGAAGGAGAATAGGGGACAGCACCTGAGCTGGGGGAGGGTCCCCACTTCTCCTCTCATTCAGGGTGCTCTCCCCACCCAGGATTAGCACTGAGCAGCCGGGTGCTGCACGGCACTGCTGCACAGCTGGCACTGCTGCTGGGCGTGCGTCTGATGCTCTGATGCAGCGGTCCCCTGAGTGAGGAGGACGCCCAAGCGGGGGCAGTTGGTTCTCGCTGCTGCTCAAGGAGCTTTGGCCCAGGGGATGGGGGGGAATGTTGTTATTTTCCACTGTTTCCATAGCAACGTGCTGCAGGGAATGCACAGCAGCAAAGAGCCCTGCCGCAGCCCCCAAGGGAAGGAGAGCCACTGGCTGGGGGGAGAGCGAGCGCCCAAAAAGGAGGCAGAGAGGGAGAGTGGGGGCTCGTGCGCACTTGAGGCTGAAGGAGGGACGAGCTTGCACAGGGCTCCACTTCATGAAGCCATTTCAAGTCACCACCTGTCCTGCATGACACTGTGCAATGCCATTTTTCTGGGGACTCTAAAATGTACTTACTCATACCTGGTTAGTTAAATAAATAACATCGCCTCCCCTGTCAAATGCTCCTCAATCACCAGGAGCTCTGTAGTGACAGAGGTGAAGGCTCCTTGTACCCCTGCCTTGGCACAGCTGCACAAGAACCAAGTTCTCCCCATCCCTCTTTCTGATTGTGGCCCATGCTGAAGAAATTCCCTGGACAGAAAGTATTTTGCAAATAGTAGTTCAGACGTCCAATATACACCGCACAAGAAAATCCTCTGACAGCATTTTCCTTATGAAGATGCTTCGAATTTACTGTGACAACTGACCTTCAAATATCTGCTCCCCAACACATGGCTGTTGGCGACATGGCTCCCTGGTGTGAGATGTATATTTTCATTAAGATTGTTTGGTCCAAAGTAGGACAGTCTCTCTATTTGGGTTCGGCTGAGCTGTTCAGGAGCCGGCCAGCAGCAGCTGGCCTCAGAGCTAGTCTGTCTTATACTCAGCTGCTCATTCCCCCAGGAGCCTGCTTCGGTCACCAGGAATAACTGGAGCATAGAGATGTCCCTTTCCCTACAGCTACATCCCATATGCTAGGGGTTGACAGACATGGAGAATGGCTTAGAACTGACACACCACCTCCAGGCTACCCAGGGATTTGGCTTACGCAGGAAGAATTTCCACCTGGTCAAATCTGCAAGTTTTCTTGTCTCTCTCGCACTGGTATCACAGTAGACCAGAGGATGGGACTCAGTGTCTAAAAGAAAAGAGACATACAATATAAAATATTGCTGTCTGGTCTCATTTCAAAAGAAATAGGTCTTCAGCAGGAAGTTGGTTCATTATAAAAAAAGAGAGGATTAATCAGTTAGTGACCAATCATATTGTAATCACTCTCTGAAGTTAATGAGCCTACTTCTCTGAGCAAAGGCTATCTGGACCTTCAAGTTTGTACAGAAATCAAAGATATGAAGTGCCATGTAATTGCTAAGTATTATCAATAGGCTTTTCAAAGAGGTAAAAAAAAAAAAAAAAAAAAAAA